GGCGTATTGTTGGTTGTTTTGCAATGGTAAATTATCTGTCTTTCTTATGAATAAATAAATCTCTAAATTTCAACATTTACAATTATTTTTTCTTTAAAAAATACAGACCGAACTGGGTTACAGGTAAGGTCAATTGATAAAGTATCACTGTAATATTTATATAAAGTTTAAATTTAAATTCAATTTTTTTAATTAATTTTTATTAAAATAGCTCTTTTATTCGTGGGTTAGAAACAACTGCAACATACAATCAAGCGACAGATGAGTTTATAATTCATTCACCAACATTAATGTCAACCAAATGGTGGATTGGAATGGCTGGTCAGACTGCAACACACTCATCTGTACTTTGCCAAACTATTGTCAATGGAAAAGATTGTGGTTTAAATTGGTTTATTGTACCATTACGTGATCATGAAACAGCAAAACTATTACCAGGTGTTACTGCTGGAGATTTAGGAGCAAAATCTGGACGTAATGGATTGGATAATGGATGGATACAATTTTCTTGTGTTCGTATTCCACGTGAAAATATGTTGATGAAATGGTCAAAAGTTACAAGAGATGGTAAATTCACACCCTCGCCTAATCCTGCTATATTTTATGCAACACTTATTTGTGAAAGATTGGCATGTTTACCAGCTGTGAAGAATTTTCTCTCACAAGCATTAACTGTTGCTTGTAGATATGGATGCGTTAGAAGACAGGGTCCAAATAAGGAAAAAATCATGGATTATCAAACACATTATGTTAGATTGATGCCTTGTGTTGCAAGTGTTTATGTTTTCAACGTTGTTAATAAGTAAGATTATATACAAATTCTATCTTAATATTTAATATTATAAATTTATTATAATGTTTAGTCTATTTAATTTATAAAAAATAAAAGACTTGTTAGTAATAGATGGGAGGAGCAAGCACAGAAGTTACAAAATTATACAAAAAATTATTTTCTGTTCATTCCATTTTGTTTATTTATTGGTACAGTCAACCCCCCTAAATGCACCCCCATAAATGCACACCCCTCTCTAAATGCACACTTTCACTCATTCCCAAGCCCGGGGCTTAAGAGATAATTGCACCCCACTATACCTGCACTGCATGGTCTTTTTTCATTCCCAACTATATAAACCACCCTCCCTAAATGCACGACCGTGACTTACACGTGATTTTATGCATTGTTGATCGTGTAACCTTAGAAAATTTTACAAATTTGGCTTTGACTTAATTCCCAAAATCTCAATTTTTAATTGTGTCTTGACTCAATTAGTTATATTTTTTCATATGACTCAATTAATTGCATCAAAAAGTCACCCAATTGAGTCAATTGTAAGCATGTTAGCTGAAGTTGACTCTCTTAATAAGGGTGAAATAGTTTTTCATAAATGCTGAAATTAATTTTATTAGTTGCCAAAATTACATCTAAAATTATTTGGACTTTTAATTAAATATTAAAAGGCTGGGTAGATTTTGTATGTCTATTGATACAAAGAATATTATAAATCCAAAATTGCTTGCCAAAATTGATTTT